TGAGCCCAGGGAGAAAGTGAACTCCAGTGTAGCTGAAGATGATCTTGAACCTCTGATGCCCCCACTTCCACCTCTGGAAGGCTGGCATGTGTGTGTGCCACAGTCCTGACTTAGAATTTCTTTATTTTATTTATTTATTTATTTATTTATTTATTTATTTATCTATTTATTTTGGTTTTTCGAGACAGGGTTTCTCTGTGGCTTTGGAGGCTGTCCTGGAACTAGCTCTTGTAGACCAGGCTGGTCTCGAACTCACAGAGATCCACCTGCCTCTGCCTCCCAAACAGCTTTATATTTTTAAATAGTTTTTTTTTTTGAGACAAGGTGTCATATATATAGTTCGCCTAGCCTTTAACTTGCCTCAAGTTCCTGATCCTCCTTCTTCCATCTCCCAAGTGCTGGGACTATGGGCATGGGCCACAGTGCCTGCCTCAAAGTCTCTGATTTTACTTCTTAGTTTTTTCTTCAAGCATTTACCTATTCTTTATCAATAAAAACTCGGGAATCAGATATCAGGGTAAGAACCCGATTGATGAGAAGGACTGACAGAGAAGCAACCAGTGACCTCTTCTCTCTCCTTCTTCAATCCAAGAAGGCCAAGAGTCTTTCTAAGCCCTTCCCTACTGCTTCCTGTGTGTCTTTATATGTCCTGGGTTTTCTATGGCTAATTTTGGTAGCATAGTAGCTAGCTTCACCCTCTGATTCCAAGTAAACTTTATTTGCAGTCTCAGGACTGTCAGAGTGTGATCAAAATATCCCACAACATGGGTATGTCAGTTTCTTAAACAAATTTGGTGACTTAAAACAAGACATTTTGGAGGCACTAGAGGTTGACCCTGGGACCTTGCACATGCTAGGCAAGAGCTCTACCTAGAGCTACAGCCCCACCCATTTTTATTCTTTATCTCCAGATAGAATCTCACTTGCCATTCTCCTGCTTTAGCTTCCACTAAACCTGTAGAAGACACAATTCCAACAATTCTGGAGGTCTGAGGTCCAAAATCGGTATCTGTGAGCTAAAGCCATTGCCAGGTCTCTCCAAATCCTTGGGTTCATCCTCACCTCTTCTTGTGTCATGTATCCTTCTGCTTGCTTCTTAGGAGGACATTCGTGATGACATTTAGGGCTCCCTGGATAATCTAGGATAACCCAATCCTGCCCACACAGTCTTTTTGCCTATGATAACTGTCTCAGAGGCCATCTCTGGGGACCACCACTCAACCCATCCCGAGGACACACAGTTGGGTCTAGTCTCCACCCTGGCCTAGTGCTGTGGGTATAGTGGATCTTCAGTGGTTTGCCTGCTGCAGGGCAGAAATGTCCTCCCCACTCACTTGCTTAAGAAGACTGGACTCTGGAGGTTCTTAGGGTCTGTGTTCTGAGATGTTTTGAAATGCTGACTCCTTTAGCTCCAAGGCTGAGTTATTTGGGGCAAAGGATATAAATTATTCACCCTGAACTCTTTGTGCTGGGCTCTAGAAATGGCACAAATCCTGCTTTGTGTGCCTTTCACAGAGTCCGGGGGAAGCATTGCTGCCATTGCAAGGGAAAGACAGTGATAGAGTCATGGAGAACATCACTCCTGCCTGACTTCTCCCAAGAACAAATGCCAGTCTCTCAATCCTTTATTTAGGAGACAGTCTCATGTATTCCAGACTGGCCATGTACCTCAGGCTGGCCAGATCTCATATGGGACATGATCTCAAAGGCCTGTTCCTCAGCCAGGTACTGAGATTAGGTGGCTGTGCTGCCCGGTGTTAAATTTCTTTCTTTTGGCCTCCACTTCCTGACTGCAATTTGGGGAGGGCTGGCTGCGTCTCCCTCTGGTCAGTATAGCCTGCCCCCTGCTGGTCACAGTGAGTACGATTCTGAAGAAGTAGGATAAACAGCTTGGCTGTCAAGTTGGTGGCTCAGTGACCAGTCACCTCACGCACACTGATAGTGGAACTCAGGGGATTGTTACTGGGTCCTGGCTTTTGCTATAGTCAGAAGGGTCCATCCATTAGATCCAGGTTCTTGTTTTGTCCTGAATTTCAAAGCCCTTTCAAGACTGTTCATTCCATTTCTGTCTG